TTATTTGTCTGGGCTAATGAGTCCATGGAAAGGAGTGTCTTGTGCCCAGGGCATGTAGAGCTGAAACATAAATAATGAAGAAGAGAGAGAGAGAGATCTGTGAGAATGAGCACATCCAGAGCAGGCCACAGAGGAAAAGAATAAAACCGACCTGTTACCTACATAATTTTTTCTGTAAGTGAAACAGTGTGTGTGTTTGGGTGTGAAATGGAAAGAAGCAAGGTGTTTGTGTTTGTTTTTTTTTGTGCTAAGTGTGTTTCTAATACTTTGTTTTCCTGATAAGCAGTTGGATAAATTGTTCTTAGCAGAGTGTGTGTGCTTTTTGCCTTTTTGCTTGTATGTTTGGCTTGGTTTTGTTTTTTCGGTTTTGGTGTTTTTTTTAACCAGGCACTGTGATTATTTTTTTTTTTGAGTTATCATGACACCTTTTCATTATAACTCATCTGGAGTTCTTTACTACTCTGTCAGTTATAAATAGTAGTCTTTTGTAATTAATTTTTTCAGTTCAAGGCAGGGCTTACAGTGTTCATGTGTCTACATGTTAAATTCTCCGTCTCAGAGAAGGAAGCCTATGGAGACTTAATTTGTAGTAAGTAAGATCAAGTAGTCCTTTGATGGTGTTTCATTAAGAACTGATGAACCAGAAACCTTCCTTTTTCCACAGTTTTGTGGCTGGTGAGCTCCTTTTCCCTGTGCAATGATGGCATATTCCTGCTCTTCAGATGAGAGTGGGGAAACACTTCTTTCCCCGTGGATTGATAGTGTGTTTTTCAAATGAAATCCTAGCAAATGAATCCAAACATTTTGCAGTGATTAGCATGGTAGATCACACACTTAAAAGTGTGTTCCTGGTGAAATTTCAGACCTCAATATTGTGTATCTTTTTGTCTTTGTAGTGATGAAGCAACAGTTATCTCAGGGACAAAGCTTGCGAACCAAGTCTTGCAAGAAGTTCAAAGGGATGTAGAATCGTGGATATCCGTTGGGAACAAGAGACCTCATCTCACTGTCATATTAGTGGGAGACAATCCAGCCAGTCATATCTATGTCAGGAACAAGATAAAAGCAGCTGCAGCTGTGGGTATGTCCTATAAGTGATCCTTTGGTAAGCACAAGATACTGTTACTTAAAAATAAAACAATAAAGCAGGAGGAATCCCCTGTTTTGTCTTAATTCAATCTTGCCCCATTTTCTTCCTCATCTCCTCTGCTGAACCTAAAGCAAAGAACTTGCATGGCCATAGGAAGAAAGTAGTTTTGATGTCACTTGAGTGGGAGCCCTAAGTTTAATTCCGTATTGAAATGTTGTTAGGAAAGAGTTTTTAAGGCTCAGACAGGTTTTTAGTCTAAATGACCAAGCTGCCCACAGATTCGTTTCCCGATGGTAACGTGTCTTCTGGTTTTTGTTTTTATCAGGCATTTCTAGTGAGATCATTGTGAGGCCTAAAGACGTTTCTGAGGAAGAGCTCTTAGATCTGACAGTGCGACTCAACAAGGATTCGAGAGTCAGTGGCTTGTTAGTTCAGCTTCCTCTGCCAGGTAGGTGACACCTTTTGTCCCGCTCCTCCTCTCCAGTCTGTGTGAGAGGAAAGAGTGTGAGGCTTTTGGGCTGCTTGGGGACATGAGAAGCTGTTGAGAGAGGACACGCATCCTGAAGGATTAGGTGAGATGGTAATTGTTTTGTTCCACCTGCTGTTCATTTTAAACCAAAAACCAAATTGTGAGAATCATTTCCTATGTCAAACTTGCCTTTTTTTACGATCAGTCAGGGTGGTGTTTCAAGGCATTTCCCTCCACTCCTAATTTATCCGGTTGAATTGTCTTTATTTTTCAACCTGTTGCAGTGTTTTGCCTTAGCTCCATACTTTCATCCCTTAGATGATGCTGAGTTGTGCTATGCAGGAGATGATGCCACAGCCTTTCTCACAGCGATTGCAGGTTTTGCCTTCAGCATTTATTCCTGTTTTCTATGCTGTCCCTGATGTTCCAGGTGAGCTTTGTGCAGAAGTCCCAAAAGCCTTGACTGAAATCTTGGTTTTTTAATTTGCCTTCTCCTAATTTGTAGTATAATCTCACTGAAATATCACTTGGCAGTAGGTGGCCAAGTGGTAATTTTACAGTGATGAAAGTTGTAAAAAAAGCCCTGAACTAAACTAAAAGCATTTTCCATCTGTGAAAGAGCAAAAGTGGGGCAGGTGCTGAGGGTTGTAGAGGAAGAAGTGCTTTGTTTGTATTTGCAATAAAGAGCAGCGCTGGTGGTGAGGGGAGTTTGCACTTGGTATGCCAGGAGAGCTGCCTGAAACC